TCTGGTTGACAGGAAGAGACGAGCGACATCTGGTTAACAAAGTATAATTAAATAATACGAGTTATCTCCCTTAGAATAGACAGCGAAATGGCAACGACTTGTACAAATTTCGGACAAAAATGATTAGGTATTTTTTTGTGCGAATGAAAGGCTGGTGGTCAAGAAGAAGACTTAAATTTGAAAATTGAAATTTGAACTCACCGAGTAAAGGCACAGTGGATGCAGACGGTAAACTGGACTCCAGAATAACCAAGAGTAAGAAAAACGCCACAAAAATGTTGATACCTGCAAAGAGACGAGATGAGAAGATATATAAAAATTAGAGATATTTTCCATAAGATATATAGTTAACACCACATATATATATATATATATATATATATATATATATATATATATATATATATATATGTAGAAAAATAGGAAAGAACACGTTAGGTAAATAATCCGAAGTTCTTTAGTATTTTTGTTTTTATTTTTAAAAATCAGTGCTCCATACAGAAGTCGAGTTTAAATTATAATTATTTTTTTAAAAAAGGGATCATATTTTTTAAAAAAATAATTATACATATATATATATATATATATATATATATATATATATATATATATATATATATATATATAATCATAGAATTCTACACTGCTTTGTTGCAAAAAATCAACTGTAAAAACTAAGAAACTTATGGAAAGTGACTTTGAATTATATCGTGTTCTTGTGGAAAATAGTCAACTGTCGAACGTCATTAGCCAAACTTCAAAAAACATTTGAAGAAAGGAAACAGTTTCGGAAGAAAATTCTTTATTTTGTTTCTTTCGATTTATTAAGGATTACTGTAGTCCGGACAAAATTCATTGTGAATGTTCATTATTATCTTACCTTTTAGTTTTATCAGTACTTATAAGGATTTCTTTTAGTGAAAGTGGCTTTTGTAGATCTTCGAAACAATATATGCTTATATAAATTTTTATGTAGACTGTAATTTCAGTCTGATATCTATCTATCTATCTGTCTATCTATCTATCACTCCTTGAGCTAAGAACGCCATAAATTATACTAACGCTGCTTAACAAGTCTAATGAACTTGAAGCCTGCTCAACCAATAAAAATCTATCTATCTATCTATCTATCTATCTATCTATCTATCTATCTATCTATCTATCTGGTATAGCCTTTTCATATCTATCTATCTATCTATCTATCTATCTATCTATCTATCTATCTATCTATCTATCTATCTAGTTTATTTTTCCACAGAGGTACACTCTCTTTCATTGCTTATTTAGACATTCTTAAAGACTACTACACACTCTGCTATAAGTCAGGGTCACAGTTTTTCGAATTCGATTATCACCTCGAAACGAACTTCGATAAAATGACATGAAAAGACTTAGACGCTTAGAATACTCTCCCCCTCCTCGTCCTAAAATAGGCTGATTTTGTGACGGCTATTTCCATCTGTCTGGTTAACCAAGATTCAACACGATTATAAAGAAAGCGACAAAAAAATAACCTTTCTCAATAAACCCTTCTACACTCAGCCGGAAAAAATATGATGAATGTCTTCAGAACTGACCTTTGAACTTTGTCTTTGGGGAGGTAATGCACTTCAATTTGATGTTGTCATTTTGTTCTGTCACTTTTGCCGACAGATGTCGACTGCAGAGAGATGAAAAACTCTCTTACAGATTTGACGATTGTTTTCATATAATCTGGAAACTCGCATTACATACACATCAAATTATGCATTTATATGCAGGCTCATACAAAGACCCTCCTCTTTCAATCACACACGCACGCATCCCCCCCACACACACACACACACACACACATATATATATATATATATATATATATATATATATATATATATATATATTATGAGGTTGTATTGAAATGTTTTTAGCTCGATTGATTAGCATAAATATTTGCATTTTTTATTTTACCATACGGGGGAAGGGCAGATTTTCGGGAAATGTGTAGTAATTTGAAAAAAAAAACAAAACAAAAACAAAAATAAAAAAAAACTGTGATTTACATTCTCCAAAGAGTTCTGCTTTTAACTAATAAAACAAATTTTGACATTGAAATTTAATTTCTCGAATTTTCTTGTAATTAAGTAAGTGAATGGTAACACATGTAAAAAATATTTTTTTAGCCAAGATTTTCTAAAACAAAATTTCAAAAATAATTTCATTCATATGCGATTAATTCCTGAAAGTTTCATTATAATCAGACAGATGATTTTTTTGCAAAAATTTCCAAATCAATTAGTTTTTCACCCGAAAATCGTAAATATTACGCCGACATTTGAATTAAAAGAATGAAGATTTTTATCCAAAACTTCGAACGTGCTAAAAAAGATTAAAACATTAAAAAAAATATATATTTGGTTTTTCCTCTTAATAATGACATAAACATTGTGTCTAGGAAAAAAAAAATATTATTTTTTGGGACTTTTTTCATCATGCTATGCTGTTTTTCAGCGAAAAAGTGAAGGTGCCTATTTTAATCTATTATTCTAACGATAATTTGGTGGACATTAAAGCTTCTTATGCCGTGGGTGATCATGGCTCTCCACAACTACCAGTTCTCCGTAGCACTTAATAAATTTTGTCTCTTTTGTTATTTCTCCTAAAACTTGTAGGTTTTCGTTTGTCTCTCTTTCCTTCAATCGGCCCTGGGAGTATCAGATTTTCCAAGCCTTCTTTTCTAATTATGCACGCTAGTAATTTCAACTGTCACTTCCTTATTGTTATGTATAAATATACTGTATATATATCCGTCATTGAACATATATTCGGTCTACCATATCGTCAGCATCATTCTGCAGAACAACAGTCCTGTTGATTGTAGTCCTTCCTTTGAGGAGATTGTCCAGCATTTTCTGCCATATAGGAGAACTGATATTACATAACAGTTCAGTACACTTTTCTTTGTTTCTGTTGCTTCAAGTCTCTTCTTTATCTGTGAGGAGGTTGTCCAGTCTTCACTGCCATATAGGAGGACTGATATTACATAACAGTTCAGTACTCTTTTCTTTGTTTCTCTTGCTTCAAGTCTCTTCTTCATCTGTGAGAAGATTTCCCATCATTCACTGCCATATACGAGGACTGATATTACATAAGAGTTTAGTACTCCTTTCTTTGTTTCTCTTGATTCAAGTCTCTTCTTCATTTGAGAGACTATCCTGCTTTCACTCTCATACATGAGAACTAATATTACATCAGGGTTCAGTACAATTTTCTTTCTTCCTCTTGCTTCAAGTCTCTTCATCTGTGAGGAGATTGTCCAACATTCACTGCCATATAGGAGGACTGATATTACATAGCACTTCAGTACTCTTTTCTTTGTTTTTCTTCCTTCAGGTCTCTTCTTCATCTGTGAGGAGATTGTCCAGCATTCACTGCCATATAGGAGGATTGATATAAAGAAGACTCTGCAATATCATTCGTCTTTAAATGACATCTCGGCTTCAGTTACTTTCCCTTTACCGTAACGTAGCTTCCCTGTGTCTTTTCTATAAATACTTTCATGGTAATTGTTCTGATGAACCTCTGTTTTACAACTCCATAGCATTCATTGGGATTTGATTTTAAAACTAGCTTTATTTTCCATCCCCTACAGACAAATTGTACATATGGGGACTAATCAGGACTTCACAGAGACTCTGCAGTATTTTGGTGGCTCTAGTATGAATGGTAAGTAAGAATGTGTTGCTTTTGCACGAGGAATATTTTAGTTTGTTTGGGCTAGCTGAATTTAAGATAAAACAGATTTCCCCTCCCCCATTTTGGCTATGTGCCACATTTTTATATCATTACACAAAATAACTATTTACACTATTTACATTGATCGAACAGTTGTCCTCACATTCGCTGCCATATTCACAACGATTCGGCCGTTATATGCTCCGGTCTTCGGGACCTGTGTATATTTCTCAGATGATGTATCTATTTTCACTATTTACATTTTTTGGACTGTTAATCTCATCTTCGTTGCCATATTCACGACGTTTCGGTCGTTGTATGCATCGGTCTTCTTCAGTTTACCGTAGAGACAACACTGACCCTATGTGGAGTCAGTATAACGTTTGAGTTACGGTTTTCTAAAAATATCTGTTTTCATTTTCATGGGTTTCCAACAACGTAAAAAATAGAAGCTAACTGTTGTAGAAAAGCTACGGAAGATAATGGGTATGTCCCCATTCACATAAATACAGTAGTAAATACTGTATGTTGGTCTGCAGTTAGAGATTCGTTTCCAGCTGTGCAGAGAGGATCCCTAGACGAGTCTATGACGAACGGCAACGTCTTGTCTCGGGAAGCAGCTACCCGATCCCGTTTTATACGGGGTCTACGGAGAATTTTTGGTCCAGCCTACGGGCTCGGATACCCCACATTAAATTCGGCCTTGTGCTACATCTGACCGCGTGGAGCGGTTGGTATATTTCCTGCAGTTGGAGATTCACTGTGGAATCCCCTTGACTCACTTCTAGCAGTTGATTACTACTTCTACGCGCCGCTGGCGAATCTTATATGTGTTGTTCGCGTCCTAAGTATTATTGTACTCGCTCACTTTCTGGTGCGACTGTTCGGTTCAACTCTCTTCCTACAGGTGGAGGAACCCGAAGGAGGCTACGCCGAAGGGCGGAGTCTCCTTCAGGGGAGGTAAACCGGCCCTGAACCCGTTTATATGGGTTCGAATGGGTTATTTTTGGCCGAGCCTAATGGCTCGGGAATTCCCACGTTAAAAAGGCCTTGTGCCACATGACACCCTCGTGGGGGGAGGGGGGTGACTAAATATCATCCTAAGTATTATTGTTCATTACCAACCTTCGTTTGATGATTCTATTTAGTAAGCTTTCCTAGTTTTACAGCACTAACGTGCATCAAATTAATTTCGATGTAAGGCAAAAATTTTAAATCGTAACCCCTGCTCTCTTATCCTCGGTGGGTATGCGCTTGTCTGAAAAATGTAAGATATGAAAAGCTGTTACTTACCCAGTGCCATTTTGGCCGGGGATTCCGGAGGTATCCAAAAAAGGACTAAGGTCAAAGTTGAAAGCAAAATACAGGGCAGCAGCAAAAGGTAGTTGTAGAAGGCGGAACGTCGCCTGACCCTTAATGTGAAGGTCAGGTCGATATAGGGCTCTGGACAGCATGAATAATATTTTACGTTCCGCTTGCCGGGTACTTTCATGATCTCCCAAGCATTGCTCGACATATACTCAGAGAGATCAATCTCAGATAGGTTGTTAAGAAAATGGACGTCCAGTTTGTAACCGTCATAGGTCCAAGAGCCGAATTTCAATTTACATTCTTGTTCGTCAAACGGAAAGTGACTGATGTCTATTCCACAAGAACTTTTGTATATGACCTGAAAAGAAATCAATACGTATGAATTCGCTGGAAAAGATACTGCAAATTAACAGAAAGCAAAAATAAAACTCAAAGAGAAAAAAATAAAAAAAGAAACAAACAAAACGAAACCATATATAAGCAAAAACAATTTTCTTTTACATCGAAATTCAGTTTAAAACCAGGGAGGTACAAAAAAGTAAAAAAAACAAAACAAAACAAAAAGAAACAACAATTTAACAAAGTAACAAAAATTAAGAAAAAAGAAACAAACATGGATTAACAAAATTAAACGTAAGATAAGTCATAATGAAAACATTTTAGAGTTGCACAATCTCCCTCTCTCATGCTAGGAGGTCTTGACCGCTGCGCCAATTAATACAATGTTGTATACTCCACCTCGATCTGTGGAGGTATTGGTCATCGGTGCCAATTAATATAATGTTGTATATCCCCCTCTTTCTGGGGAGTTCTTAGTCATCGTCGCCAATTAATACAATATTTTATACTCCTTCCCCTCGTTCTTGGTCGTTGTGCCTATTAATACGATGTTTTATACTCCCCCTTGTTCTGGGAAGGTCTTGGTCATCGGGGCAAATTAATAAAATGTTTTATACTCCCCCTCGTTCTGAGGAGGTTTTGGTCACGGCAGCAATTAATACAATGTTGTATACTCCCCCGTCGTTCTGGGGGGGGGTCTTGGTCAATTTATTCATATGTTGTATAATCTCTCTCTTCTCCCGTCTTCTTCCGGCGAAATGTTTTTGGGTCCGGAGATGAAAGTCATCAAGAAAGGGAATTTTAAACTTATCTAGTTTTATTAAACACGTTGACTTGTACATTTCTAGTCAACAAGTCAGTGGGGTTGCTCTCCCGCTCATCCGAGGAGCAGAATCCAGTGACAAAAAGAACACTACATTATTCGACGTGTAAGAACCAACTCCTTGAAAAACTTTTCTATATCTCCATGATTCCCACGCTCGTTCAGTCAATCAGAATCGACTTCCTTTGTTTTGTCTTGTATCTGATCTCAAAGATCAAACTCAGGAAGTCCGAACAGAGATACACTTCTCTAAAAATAATGGTCTGCTGAACTATTTCTTAACATTCGATTTAATATCGAACTCGTGATTGAACAGCAAAGAAACGAAAAGTGATAAAAACTAAGAAAAAGCAAATAAAAATTAAGGCTAAAAGAAAAACAAACGAAATTAGCGAAATAAAACAAAAAATAATCCATAGTCATTTAATGTCGAACTCGTAATTGAATAATAAAGAAACATACAAAAAAAAACAGTAAAAAAAAGTAACAAAAAAGATAAATCAAAAAGTAACGCAAAATAAACAAAAAAATAAGCAAAAACATGGTAAAAAGTATAAAAAAAAATCAGAACAGAAAGTGACAAAATGAATCCAAAAATAAATTATAAGGAATTTTTTTAGATTTAATATCGAATTAATAAATGAATAAAAATGTAAAAATAAGCAGTAGCAAAAGTATCAAAAAAGAAACAAAAAGAAATAAAAGTAACAAAACCAAAGCTGTAACTGGCAAAAAAAAACGAAAAAAAGAGAAAACAAAAACGCAACAAAATGTAGTAAAAAAAAGAAACGAACAAAAATTAACGATAAGAAACAAAAATGTGCAAAAACAAAAACCTTTTTATATTTTACATATAATTTCCAGAAAATAAGACAGTAAAAAAAGTAACAAAATGAAGCCAAAAACAGATGTTGTGATAACAACAATAAGAACATTAACCCGACTGTAAATGATGTAGATCACGGATAGTTGTGAACTGTTTTAGTTTCTCTTTTAAAGTATTCTTTGCGCAAACATTTTCATGTATATCATCTACAATACGTCTAACTTTCTATCCCAACATTTGTTATTCTTTTATCATTTCTATAAGCCATTACTTTTCTCTCGATATCACATGAAAACTGATACGATTAAAATTATATTTCCCCCATTTGAAAATCGACCACGCGAAGAACGCTTGGCTTCCACAAGCCAGTTATCTCTGTGATAACTTTTCTGACACCCCTCACCGGAACTGAACACTCGACGCGAAAATGATTGATGGGCCACGCTTTCGTGGTTCGTATCTCATAAGGAAAAATCGAGAACTTAGCGAGATTTTGCCCTTTTGCATTGTGGAGATTTCCGACCTCGCAAAGCTCGCTTTGGGCACCCGCGATACCGTTTGACAGTCATACAACCCCAGTCAAACTTCCCGCCCAGCATGGTCCCCGGGTAAGGGTCGATCCCAAGCCTTTTTCACCGTGTCAGCGAGGAGACGACGTGAGTAGTGATATTTGAGGTTTGACGATATCGAACGACGCCGATTACGGCCAAGGCCAAAGCACTTACGACGCCAATAAAAATCGTGTCTCCAGCTTCCTCGTGTCTTCTTACAGAATCAGACTAGAGTCTAGCTTAACAAGGTCTTCTTTCCTCGCCGATCGTTTCAAGCACGTTCCCTTGCTTTCAACCATTTAATGCTCACATCAGTTGTAACTGGTGCGCAAATACGAGAAAAGTTTGCAGATGACAAATAAATGGAAACCCGTAGGATAGAGTAATCGAGACTGCTGCGATAGTGATAGGCTTGTATGAATAGAATACATATTCTTTATAAGAAATCAATTTGGAGATCAGGTTTCATTGACGTATAATTTGTAAAGAGGGTTTTTAGTCGAGAGTCTGGTTTCATTGATGTATTCTTTTCAGTTTCTTTGGTCAGTTACCTTACTAAAGTTGATTTTGCGGCATATCAGCACCTCAATGGGTTATCTAATGCCGACAAGATGTTTTAGGATAGGTTCGTATGAATAGAATATGTATCTTTTGTAAGAAATCAGCTTGTAGATCAGGTTCCATTGGCGTATTTTTATAAAGAGGGTTTCTGACGAGAGTCTGGTTTCATTGATGTATTCTTTTCAGTTGCCGTTCTAAAGTTGGGTTTATTTTGTTTTATGGCATATCAACACGTCAATGGGTTATTTAATATCGACAAGATTTTTAGGATAGATTCGTATGAATAGAATATGTATTCTTTGTAAGAAATCAGTTTGTAGGAGATCATGTTTAATTGATTTATTTTTATAAAGCAGGTTTGTAAAGAGTTTCGTTTCATTGATGTATTCTCAGTTTATAAAGAAAATGGTTTTTATTGACATTCTAATTTCGTTTATATTTTTGGTAGAGGCGCACTGTTTTAAGAAATCATATGTCATCTACATTTGCTTTTTCAAAGGACTCATACATTCTGTTCATATTATAGTATTTTTATCATGAGCGAGCAAGTTCTGAATATTCGGTTTAATGGTGCATATCATTTTACATACTTGGCATACTGGTTTGGTTTATTGGTTTATTTTTTACGGTATATCAACACATCAATGTGTTATTCCGATTTATTTAAGACTTTTAGGATAGGATCGTAAGAATAGAATATGTAATATTTGTAAGAAATTAGTTTGCAGATCAGGTTTAATTGACGTATTTTTTCTAAAGAAGCTTTTTTTTTTTCGAGAATCAAATGTATTTCTGGTTCTTATAAAAGAATTCCTTATTGACATCCAAAGGTTTATTGTCAGCATCTATTTACACAGTTCTAATAAAAGCGAATTCACTCATTTTTATGAAATGTTATTTAAAGCTAGAAAATATTTTTAGATTCCATAGCTGGGGAGAGAAGAGTTGGATTCATAACTTTCCCAAGGGTATTTGAGCATTCACCTATCCTAGGTACTGACAAGGCTTGACATCCCTTAACATTGTTGATTGTACAGGAACCTGTGTTTCAACATGATCTGGATGTTGTGGCGAGCCATGATCACCCACATTCTGAAGGGATACAACACATGAAAGTTTAATTTGGTTTATTTTGTTTTACAGCCTATCAATCACAGTGGGTTATTTAATGTCGACAAGATTTTTAGGATAAATTCGTATGAATAGAATATGTATTCTTTGTAAGAAATCAGTTTGTAGGAGATCAGGTTTAATTGATTTATTTTTATAAAGCAGGTTTGTAAAGAGTTTCATTGATGTATTCATTTCAGATATACAGTTTATAAAGAAAATGGTTTTTATTGACATTCTAATTTAGTTTATATTTTTTGGTAAAGACTGACTGTTTTAAGCAATCATATTATGTCATCCACTTTTTCTTTTTCAAAGAACTCATACATGTTGTTTATATTATAGCATTTTTGTCTTGAGAAAGTAAGGTCTGTACATTTGGTTAATATATGTTTATTTATATGCCATTTCACACGCTTGGCATATTGGCTGATCTTCGTTGTTTAGCAAGTACGAATAGGTTATTCTCGTGTGGCCAATGCGTAAGCGGGCTAGTACTATACCTTTGTGCAAATTAATTGAAACGACCACTTTAGTTTCCTTTCTTTCACCATACGGTCAGTTTTAGACCCACTGGAGTGACAGGATGTAACCGATTTCTATTTTTAACCCAGATTACGACATTTGCAGTGACGTGCAGTAATATGAATCTATTTTCGAGTGTATGATGAAATTTGTTTGGTCTTGAAAAATATTACGTCATCCGTGATTGCATCAGATTTTCATCACGCCCAGACGTTATTGTCTCCACTGTCGATTAGGTGTCTTACGGCCATTGTCTGTGTTGTGGGACTATCCACTTTTTACATAAGATGGACACGTCCAAAGTATACTTATACTGACAGAGAGAATACTTGCTGTTCAGATACGTTGCGATACATGGAGATATGTTGAGATACGTTGAGACAGGTTGAGAGATACGAAGACAGACACAGGGTGTTCTCAGAGACTTATACAAGAGTCGAGAGAGAGAGAGAGAGAGAGAGAGAGAGAGAGAGAGAGAGAGAGAGAGAGAGATTACGGCTTTACTTACAGAGACTTGTACATATACTTTCTACTAACCCGCATTCCTGGACTACTAATCTTCACTTCAAGTCTGTATTCTTCCGTTTAATACACTTATTTTTCTATCTCAATTTCTAGCGTTGTTTATTTATTTGTGCAGGATTCCATTCACGGAATCCACAACAGTCTGCGATGGACATTACTCCAAAGAGGCGTACGAAAATTATAACGCTGCACGAACACACTAGAAGGCCTTACCAGTGAGCAAACCAAAGTACTATAGACTGGCCCTGAAATTCTCCTGATTTAAATCTAATGGACAATATGTGGTCAATCTGCAACGAACGACTTCGTAGAATGAACATACGAAGTACTAATATGGGCACTGGGTCATGTTTTATTGGAAAAATAATAACAGAATTATTCATGTTGTTTCTGTTAATTTGCACAAAGGTGGACTTCTTCCTTTCGAGATTTTCTGAAAGCCGACTTCTATTCTCCTAGTTTGAGCTGAATTGCGAACAGTTTACTGTGTGGCATATCAACACCTCAATGGGTTATTTTTAGGCTAGGTTCGTAAGAACATAATATGTATTCTTTGTAAGAAATATATTTGTAGATCAGGTTTCATTGATGTATTTTTGTGAAGAGGGTTTTTGTCGAGAGTCAAATGTATTGCTGTTAATATTTGAAAAAAATGTATTGCCGATATTTTAACAATAAAAATCTATAATTATTCTTCGTAGTGTTTTGACACTAGTTTTGGATTTAAAAACCCATAGCTGGGATCCTAACATGTGCTACTAACGCGGGTCAGAATGTAAGAGGTGGTTCCTCAGAACTTTCAGAACTTGCTGCCGGATGTAGTTCATCGTCATACCCAGGAGAATTAAAATTAATAAATTTGGTCACATAGTACTTGTGTGTTCAATCACTGGACAGGACAGTGACAGGATTAAATAAAGTGTTGGACAGGGCAGTGTGAGAACAGAAACTAACCCGTAGATTAAACCTAGTGGAATGGGTTCAGTTCAATCCCTGGACAGGGCAGTGTGTACATGGATTCAGTGGAAACAGGGCAAGCATTCACTGAGCAGTACTAAAAATAAGAACTAGACGATACAGGGCAGTGGAATGAGAACAGTCTAACCCGTAGATTGTATTCAAATAAGGGGGTTCAGTTGAAACAGAATTAACTGAGCAGTACTAAAAATAAGAACTAGACGAGATATCCCTAGACATGGGCAGTGGAATAGAACAGTCTAACCCGTAGATTAAAAAAGGGGTTAAATCCCTGGACAGGGGCAGTGTGTACATGGAAGTGATAAGGGAAAGCAAAGCAGTAAAGACAAAAGCCAGGGAATATGTATTAATGTTCAGAATTTAGGTTTAATCGCAAATTTGTCTGACGTTAAAGACAAAGCCCGAATATGATAATGTGAGATTATTAATGCAAATGTCTGTTCCCAACGTACCTGCGGCATCCACACGATTTTGCCTGTGTATTCCACGACAAGCAATGCTTCCCTGTGTTCTTCGACTCTTTCATCCGCACTGAAATACACAACAGATGTAGATACAGACAACAGATGTAGATACAGATGAGAAATGTAGATATAGGTATCGGCAATAAAACAAGAATGTGATTATAAACAAATTGCGGCTTCATTGTCTTTGGCAAAGGAAATGGATTTGATGGACATTTCTTATCACTTACTTTTTCAACGAAGATTTGCATTAATAATTTCCTTTGACAATTCGATCCTGTGTATTACGGAGAAGTTTTTTTTGTACGAAAGACCTAATCAATTTTAAATGTCAAAGATCATAAAAGCTGATTATATATACTTCCATTGGAATATGAGTATCCATAAAAAATAACATTTAAACAAATTAAATTAAAAATAATATGTGTGAATTAATTCATTCCATATATATATATATATATATATATATATATATATATATATATATATATATATATATATAATTAAAGAAAAACAGGCCACTTTAAGGCTCTATTTGTTATAATTTATTTCACCAGAGAATTTTATTTTTGTCTGGATCTTCAGACTCACGTTCAAAGGGGAAACGAAAAATGAATTTAAAATTTACACTTTTGACGGGCAGTATTAAGCTTATATAAGTTGACATAGAAGGTGGTGAGGAATAGTATGAGAGACATGGTCGAGTTTAGAGAGGGAAACGAGAGTTTTAAAATTTCTTTTTCTTTTTCCTTTTATTACAATACTTAATATTGAGGAAAGAGAGGGTAAGGATCAGACATTGACCTATGTAATCGGTCAACTCAACGGAAATGGAAACAAAAGGAGAAAAAGAAAAAAAAGAAGGGAAATAAAAGGATAAGATACAAGTGATGTACGTAGGATTTCTGGAGGAAGGAGATGAGTGCTGTAACTTTAGCAATTTAGATAAACACAGATTTTAACGTTTGATAGTAATTGAAATGTCTAGAAATTACACAAAGAAATTAAATTTAATGCTTGTTAGCAATTTAAATATTCAACTTCTTCACAAATAAATTAGGGATTTAATATAAGTCGAATATTAAATTAATAAACATTATATTAATAATATAATAGGAATATTTTAATATTATTATTATATAATATGAATGACTGTTAAGGCAAAATCTTAGAGTCTAATTCATGAATTTAATTTGTAGCTATTTTAGATGGGTAATATTTTTAATTAAAGTTTAGGTTTCAAATCAAGATGGAGTAAGAATTTCATCCTCCTTGGGATTATCTCTATGGATTACCAAGATTTTCGTTACTTAACTATATATATATATATATATATATATATATATATATATATATATATATAAAGTGAACATAGAAGCCATCACTTAGAGGCGATAGGCTGTTTATCCCATAAATATAGCACACCGCAAGACTATATTTCTTCATATATATATATATATATATATATATATATATATATATATATATATATATATATACGTCTATATTTCTGAGATGAGGTATTATGTACACTATTTACATTATTCGGACTATTGTCCTCATCTTTGTTGCCATATTTATTACAACGTTTCGGCCTTTCAGTATCTTTCTATATTTTTGAAATGAGGCATTATGTACACTATTTACATTATTCGGACTATTGTCCCCATCTTTGTTGCCATATTTATTACAATTTATCCTTAAGAACACATGGCAAAAGGGATAAAGGCGTTGGTTAACAGCAAAGAGCTGTGAGTTCAATACCTGGTTAAGGCGGTGGAGAATTTGGAGATGTGAATTAACAGGAGTTAACTGATAACTGACATCCATTAGACATGACACGTGGAACTAGAACAGTCTACCCCAACGAGCGAAATAAACGGTTCAGTTCAACATTCCAACAACCTGACGAAGGCCGGAGCGTACAACGGCCGAAACTTTGTGATAAGTATGTCAACAAAAATGGGGACGAATAATGTAAAAGTATATATATATATATATATATATATATATATATATATATATATATAAATATAAAAGTGAACACTGAAGTCAACACTCAGAGGTGATAGGCTGTTTCATGCTGGACGCAATCGTTAGGCCTGACGATTGCGTCCAGCATGAAACAGCCTTGCCGACCAAAATTCCTTTATAATCTTCTGAATTAGCCTCGTATGTGTAAATATATGCCTGCCTGCATGAAAACCTGTATAAACAAGAAAGTTAAACCGCTATTCTTAAAGAGTTCGGTTCGAAATTCCAATCACATGAAGAAGGCCGCAGCGTACAAACGTTTTGAATATGGCAATGAAGATGGGGATAACAGCCCGAATTGTGTAAATAAGGCAATTAGTCATAATATCTCATCTCGGAGATATAGACAGTTATATTCAGTTTTAAATTGATAGAAAATAATTTCTGGGCATTTTGAATAGTTTTTCTTCACTTCCTCTCCTAATAGTGATTTGCCGACCAAAATTCCTTTATAATCTTCTGAATTAGTATGTGTAAATATATGTCTTCCTGTATAAAAAAAAAGAAAGTTAATCCGAAGCGAAAGGTCATCTAGAAATGTTTATTAAACGCTCATTCTATCGTTGGTCCACTGAATTTTCATTAATGGTAAATTCTGAAGAGAATCTGTTTTTCGACCCTGTAAAGAAAACGAAAAATGGCTTTCTATCAAAGCAAATGAATATTTATAATCAGCTGTCAGCCGTTTGACTTCAGACCTGTGCGTCAAGGTGGATTGGATCGCTTAAAATTGCTAAGAAGATAAACAATCGAAAAAGATGAGTTTTGCTTTTGTTTGGCCAACAGTGGACAGCTTAAAAATGAGAGAAGAAATGAATAAAACTTCTCAAATCTAGGAACTCCGATCTGGAATTGGAATAAAATCAGTGATAGCCCATTGTTTTTTCAATCGTTCCATCTTAAACAAAGAGTTGAAAAGATGGCGACGGTCACCGAGTGTTAAAGAATAAAATAGAATGAAAATAAAACAAGAGGATTCAAGAAAACAGAAGTTGACCGAAAGAGAATTTAGATATCTGTTTATACAGGTAATCTTCGAATTTTTAAAAAATCATTTCACCCTAAGCAAGGCAATAAAGCCACTAAGAAGCAAGAGGTAGTTGAACATATATACTATTTACATTGTTTGGACTATTGCTTTCATCTTCGTTGCCATATTCACAGCGTTTAGTCCGTTGTACCCTTTGGCCTACTTCAGGATCTGTTTAAATTTCTGAGATGAAGCATTCTAACTATTTACACTATTTACATTGTACGGACGGTTTTCCTCGTCATTGTTGCCATATTCACGACGTTTCGGCATTTGTATACTCCGACCTTCTTCAGGATCTGTCTGTATTTCTGAGATGAGGTATTGTAATTATTTACACTATTTACATTGTTCGGACTGTTGTCCTCATCTTCGTTGGCATATTCACTGCATTTGGGCTGTTGTATGCTCCGGCCTTCTTCAGGATCTATCTATATTTCTGAGATGAGATATTGTAATTATTTACATCATTTACATCATTCGGACTGTTGTTCTCATCTTCGCTGCCATATTCACGACGTTTCGGCCGTTGTACCTTTTGGCCTTCTTCAGGAATTGTCTATATTTCTGAGATGAGGTATTGTAATTATGAAATCGTCCAAAAGTTCAGGTCGCTTATCGCAAAGGATGGATATATCTCTCAAGAAGTGTTTAACTGCGATGAGACTGGACTCTTCTGGAAGATATTGTCCAGGAGGACGTACGTCACTGCCGAGGAGAAGAAGATGCCAGATGCTATGAAAGATAGGCTGACCGTCATATCTTGCGCAAATGCGAGTGGTGGTCTGAAAATCAAGCTCCTGCTTGTGTATCATACAGAGAACACCCAGGCCTTCAAGGCACATACGATCGAGAAGAGGCAACTGCAGGTCATGTGGAGGGCTAACAGTAACGGCTGGGTCACAAAGCAGTTTTTCTGTAAAATAGGTCTACGTCGTTTTCGACCCTCAAGTCCAAAGGTTCTTCAAATTAACAGTCTTCTTATAAAGTCTCTACTCATCCTTAATAATGCGTCTGGACACCCTCCAAACATCTACGTTGAATTCTTGGAAAACTTTATACTCTACTGGATAGAGTTGGTGTTCAGTGGCAGGTAAAAAACTTTAATAACTTTGGTCACAGCTTGTATAAGCTGGTCTTAGTTTGTCTAAGCTGGTCATAGCTTTTCTAAGCTGGTCTTAGTTTGTCTAAGTTGGTCATAGCTTGTCTAAGCTGGTTAGAGGATGTCTAAGCTGGTCATAGTTTGTGCAAGCTGGTCTTAGCTTGTGTAAATTGGTCTTAGTATGTCTAAGCTGGTCATAGCTCGTGTAAGCTGGTCTTAGCTTGTCTAAGCTGGTCATAGCTTGTGTAAGCTGGTCTTAGTATGTCTAAGCTGGTCATAGCTTGTGTAAGCTGGTCATAGCTTGTCTAAGCTGGTCATAGCTTGTGTAAGCTGGTCATAGCTTGTGTAAGCTGGTCATAGCTTGTGTAAACTGGTCTTAGCTTGTCTAAGCTGGTCATAGATGGTGTAAGCTGGTCAGCTTGTCTAAGCTGGTCATAGATGGTGTAAGCTGGTCTTAGCTTGTGTAAGCTGGTCATAGCTTGTGTAAACTGGTCTTAGCTTGTCTACGCTGGTCATAGTTTGTGTAAGCTGGTCTTAGCTTGTCTAAGCTGGTCATAGCTTGCCTTAGCTTGTCTAAACTCGTCATAGCTTGTGTAAGCTTGCCTTACTTGTCTAAGCTGGTTTTAGCTTGTGTAAACTGGTCTTAGCTTGTGTAAGCTGGTCAAAGCTTGTGTAAGCTGGTCACAGTTTGTGTAAGCTGGTCTTAGCTTGTGTTAGCTGGTCATATATTATTTAAATAATTATTAAATAAATATATATATATATATATATATATATATATATATATATATTAATTATTTATTTAAAAATATGATTCCATCGCTACATAAGAGTTCCCATGTTTCAAAACAAGAGCCGAAAACTTCAATATAATTATTAGAATTAAATTGAATTAAAGTACCAAGCTCTGTTCCATCTTCAAGCGAAATTTTTGGAATAACTAATTCTTGAAATTTACACGTTTTTATAGCCATATTCATTATTAAAATTAAAATTACTATGGTAATGGCTAGAGCAGTTATTTAAAAAATGGGCGTAAGGGTTAATAATTTGTATCAATATCTCAGTTACAGTCAAAGAGGTCAAGTCAGGGTAAGGTTGGGATGTCTAAATTTAAAGCGGAAGATGACATCGTCTGGTCTGGTTAAGTGTCTATGGAGATTTATTTTTTTTATTTTTATTTTATTTTATTTTCTTTCCTGAAATGGTTTTGTGTATATAAAAATGTCATAATTAGCTAACACTTGTTTTTTTGACGACTTCATAAAGGTCTATTTTTTTTTTTATATATGATTGGGTTGAGCTTTTAAACCTTTTATCTAGACTATTGAATTTAAAAGTTGTATGTATTATTACTCTAATTATTTAATATGAAAATATGGTGATGTTAGCAATAAAACCGTATCTTTTTTTATATGATTCGGTAGGTATTTAGGCTATGGAGCTTAAAATTAGTAATTATTATTTAATTGTTTGTTTGTTTTTTATGCTAATTATTAAATGCGAAAATTTGATGAGAAACCGTTAACTCATGTCTATTGTTTAATAAATTTTCTTATTTAGAAACTTGATATATATATATATATATATATATATATATATATATATATATATATATATATATATATATCAAGTTTCAAATATATATATATATATATATAAGTTGAATGGATATTAAACTAATATCCATACAATTGAATCTGTTAGCTCTATCACAGATATTGAGCACTTTCCAATAAGTACCGCGCGTGTAATATATATATATATATATATATATATATATATATATATAATATTTAAAACACCAACATTTTCCTCGGTTTACACCAATGAAAGTTTCCTCAGGCAGTGAAAAAAGATTGCCCGTGGAAATTTAATTTCTGGAAACCGAGGTAGCAGAAAGCTTTGCTGTTTGTATTTTAAATATTAATTACCTCTGTACATTCGATTTTTTGAACTGTGTATTGAGCACTTTAAAAAAATATATAACCGTTTCCCAGACAAGATAAACCTTGTCTGTAAAAAGTTTTATTGTGTATCTATACATATATGGACTTATGAAGCCACGTTTAGATAGCTGTCTGTGCTTTCCATATTTTATACATCTTTATTTGACACAGGTAGTTTTTTGTTGAAAGTGGCTCTGGTCAAATGAAAATTTGCCTTTGATTTCAATCACAGATAGATATATACACACATATATGCAAACATGCAAAGGTACGTGCATACACTGAGAAAAAACGTTAAGGAAGATATGAGTGAAGGTAAAAATGATGAGTATGATAAGAATGATATTAACGTTATCAGTGAAGGTCAAAATGTTTGACTTACTAGTTGTAAAGCTTCAAATCGGGTTTCCAGACCTTGTCCTGGTGAATTCGGACATTTGTCACACCGCCATATTGAGCCGGGTCCCACATCAGAAATTCGTCTTTCCAAAGCTAAGAAAAAAGAATTAAAAGAATTGTTACAGAGTGAAAACAGAGCTTATATTATAGATGATATATATATATATATATATATATATATATATATATATATATATATATATATATATATATATATAACCAAGTATATAATTGGTATATACGGAATGAATTCTAATAACCAACAATTACTATTATTAAAAGAGTGCTCTTGTCGAACGTAATTTCAACGAAGAAATAAATTGAATAACATATGTATTTTTTCTTTTCTCAATAATTTTATAGTTTTTAAACTTAATAGTGATTAAATTTGGATTTTAAAATTGGCAGTTTTTAATTTTAATATTAAATTTTATCATATAATTTTATAATTATTGGTTAGCATAAATTCTTTTTAATATTACCCGTATTTTAAAGATCTGAATAGCTATTATAACATGATTTCGTTGTCAAGCTTTTGAATCTTCCTATACTTGGGTTTTGATTGGTTATTCGAGCTTTTGTAACAGTGTTTCCCCCCAGTGAAGGATCGTTAATTTGAAACTTTTAAGACCATTTATTTTATCTTCAACATCATCACTTGATAAGACACAGAGTGTGTTGAAACAAAATGGCTATTTTTGTAGTGATTTTATAACATTTTATAACATATTTATGTTATAATTTTATTTTTTATAAATAATAATATATATATATATATATATATATATATATATATATATGTGTGTCTAATGTTAATTATGTTTTATGAATATGTCCTGAAGAAGGTCTACTAGACGAAACGTCTGACGTTGTCATTAAATTAAAATTAAAACAGCATAATTGCATATTAGGATTTTTGTTTGTTTTTCCGTATGCTTATATATATATATATATATATATATATATGCATGTTTCGTTAAAAACGACAGACAAGGTACTACAGTTGAGCTTTTTATTTAATTTTTCTTGTGTTCTAACAAGAGCTTTCTTTTCTTCTCTTTCTTAAGACCACATTTGAGAAAAACTCCGTCCTTAATTTTACATATGAACTTAGCCAAAAAAACAAACTACCATTCTTAGATATCCTCGTTGAACATAACAATAACTCGTGCCACCTTAATTTCAAAAGTGAATGTCCACTTAGGTACAAAATAGCTGTAATAAAAAACTTTCTAAATAGAGCCCACCAGAACTCATCCTCTCGACTACTCTTTCTCAAAGAACTTAACAACGTTAAACAAACACTAATTAACAACGGTTTCCCTAACAACAAATTAGAATATTCCTCCCCAAAGCAAGTAATAATGATAGCGAACACACAACTAAAAATCACATACACATTTATTACAAAAACCAAATGCATATTAATTACAAGCAAGATGAATCTGCTCTAAGACATATTATAAAGAAATATACTACTCCTATTGACCCGGATAAAAAAATCAAACTTATTATCTATTATAAAAATTTAAGACGGCCAACCTTATCCTCAAAAATAACAACACACCAACGAAGTCAAAATTACAAAAGAGCGAACATTATCTATGAGTTCAATGCCCTTTAAGGAACTGCGTTCCTCACCAAACCGGACTCATAAATAATTACATCGGCTACACAACCACATGTTTATCCAGACGTCTTACATTACACCTATCTGATCACAGTTCCATCAGAACACATTTAAACACACACTCAGATTTACCTGACACTATTAGGAACATACTAGTAGAAAACACTAATATATTAACTGCATCCACTTGCAAAAAAAGACTAAAAATAATGGAAGCTCTAATAATAAAAAAGAAAAAGCCAACTCTTAACAATATCAACTATGAACAAAGCCACAATGTGCTAACTGTATTCGGAAACAAAAACATCACTACCACACACTGAACATACATAGAACACACTCTACTAAGCTGATAATTGAACCATCCTTGATAATGGCTAAAGGTATAGCCGAAAGCGCTCGGAAACACAGAACATTCGGACAGTTCTTACACACTCTTTGTCCAGAAAAGAAAGCTCTTGTCAGAACACAAGAAAAATTAAATAAAAAGCTCAACTGTAGTACCTTGTCTGTCGTTTTTAACGAAACATGCATAAAGGAAGGATTGCTGCCTAAATATACAAATATATATATATATATATATATATATATATATATATATATATATATATATATATATGTGTGTGTGTGTGTGTGTGTGAAAATATATAGAAAATAGGAAGGAACTGGTTAGGTAAATAATCCAAAGTCCCTTAGTATTTTAGTTATTATTTTTAAAAAATAGTGCTCGATACAAAAGTAGAGCATAAATATAATTATTTATTT